GGTAGATCAAACTTCTTTGCCAATTCACAAATTTTCATTTTTGTATCGAAGTCTTTAATAATGTTAACTTTACATTCCAAAGATAAAGTTTTTCTTTTCTTGTTTGATGCAGAAGAATCAGTTCTACTTCGTTTAGATGACATAGTAGAGTCTCTGAAGTCTCTGTAGATATAACAAACACAGAAATAAATAACACAAAATAAATTGTAGCTATAGGTCGATTCCGCGCAACACGTCCGAACATGTAAGCCGAACAATAGTGTGAGGGGAGTGAGTAATTAAGAGTTGCGTGGCACTCAAACAAAAGACGAATCGACGAGATTTGAAAATCGCGTAACTCCGAATTCGCGTAAGTCGAGGTATTACTGTATATTATAATCTGAAATACTGTATTTACTCCTTTCATTTTAAAATTACAATATAATTATTTTCAGAAATACGCATAACACACGATGTGCCAAAATTTATCGCCGGATAATATCTATTTCTCTTTTTTCAATATTTTCAAATTTAAAATGTTTTCATATACCTTGTCGAATCTCACACTACAGATGCTTTCAACATAATAAAGTGCTCTAGACTTATCTTCAGGTTCGTGGGTGACATTTTCAACATCTATAGCGCACAATAACTTTTGGATCATCCTATAATAACATTCTTCATATCGTTAAATAGTTCGTAAATTTTCTATAAATGTTTGAATTACTAAAATAATCAGTTTTCAAAATTACACTAATAATATACGTTAACATTTTTGCAGTACTTTTTCCTGCGGTGGCCAGACTCGTTCGCTTGACTATATTTGACCCACAATCTGTCAATTTTTTTAAACTTGCTATCGATGACGTGATAAGCAAAAGAAAATTGTTAAAAAAGGTAATTTAAGTAAATTATCAGTAAACAGAATAATTTTTAGATAACATATATAGCCTATATCTTTCGACAGGATGAAACCCCTAGAGATTTTCTTCAGTTGTTATTAGAAGCAATAGAAAATAAAGGAAACAAAACTGAAAGTAAGCATTACGATAATTTTGTTTTAATCATTTAATTTCATCTTATTAATATATCAGTGATCCATTTGTTAATCTTAAAAATTTTTGGTATTATGGCAGAACATATAAGTTATAAATGGACTACAGTTAAGAATTTTATATATCGCCAGTAATATAGTTACAGTACATAAAAATCAGTCATTGTCTTTACACACAAGTCTTCGAAAGATTTCCAATTTTCCTCTATATTTATATTTTGAGAAACAACCCGAAGTAAATTGTATCAAATCTTCATTATGAGATTGGCTAAAATTGTGTAGTACATACTATTTAATAATAAAAATACTTCATTATGAGTCATTGAAAGTTGAGGGAAATTTCAAAAAAATATACAGTACATAAACAGTATCGTAATTTGCCAAGTGCAAATCAGCAAATTCGTAAAATTTTTGTTTATTTTGAAAAATCCGGATAATCGAGGTTCTACTGTATTATCTTCCGATTCTTATACAAATCTCCACGTTTTGAAATCCCCTTAACACAAAAATCTCGAAAAACAAGAAAATATTCCGTGGATATGTATATAGATATGTATGTGTGCAAGTGCATATGTTACTGTGAAAGACCGAAATTAGAGAATGTCGATATTTTCCAGTAAATGTCGACACATACAAAATACATCGGTGAAAGGCCGAATATTTGGTTATATTATTATACCTTCGAACAATCGCCGGTGTATGTCGACAAGCACAGATAAGCTTTGGTGGAGGTCGAAACGACACCCGAGAAGCTGATGTCAACAGAAAGGCGACAGTCTGTCGCTAAATTCTTCGCTGTTTCCTTTCGCTCAAATTGATGATACCGTACGAATACAAGTCCCTGATGTCGACCGTGGTCGTACACATTCCCGAAATGTGTTGGTGGTTGTTGTTGGAATAGAAGACTCCGACTTTTATAAATTAGCAAACAAAAATGATACCCTCAAGCAGCTTTATACCCGTAATCAGTTCGTAATTTGTAAAGAAAAGTTACTTTCCATAGATGAGATTTCTTCTCAAGAAATATCTCTGAGAGAAGCAGGTGCAGCTAATTCGAAAAGTGGAGGGCAAGGCTATACAAGTTGTCATTGCAAAAGGTTGTGTTCCACGAATAAATGCAGTTGTAAAACAAGGGACTCTCGTGCAATTCAAAGGGCCATAACAGTTTAAGTTGTTGCAATAAATAAGATTGTATAATGTTAATCACATAATAAATTACCAAACGATCGCCTAAATATCGGGCTATAATATGGCTAATTAAATGTTAATCACATAATTTATGTGTAAGTTTATTATTCTATTATTTGCTTTAATGATTTGGAATGTACTGTTCGTTTTAGTGTTCAACGGTTTATTTACATGCGCTGTTACTTAAGCTTTCTCCTATTTTGACATTAAAAAGTTGCATTTTTGTCTTAACGTAATAAAAATATTTTTATTCAACATTCATCATTAGTGCATGCTGAATGTCGACATTTGTCATTGTAGGTGAGAAATAATGATATTTAGCAAATATTTCGTACATACACGAAACGACTGCGTGAATGGTCAGATTCACCGGAGAATGTTGAAATTCGCCAGATATCGGTCATTCACAGTAACACAAATACCTGTTTGGAAATTCAGTCATTTCGACTGTACAGAATACGTTTTCTCTTACGAATTCAGTTTTGAATTATGCTACAGTTAATGAGGTAATGAAAGATATGGTTTATAGAAATAAACTAATGATGTCCCGGGTACTGCAACAATGTAAGGAAGGAATGTATATACAGTCGACCCCCTATAACACTGCTGATAATTCTGTTTTATATGAATTCCATGTTGTACGAGTCACTTAGATTTTACAAATACGTGAGCCGTTCACAGCCCGGCACACGTATTTGTAAAATCTAAGTGACTCGTACAACATGGAATTCATATAAAACGGAATTATCAGCAGTTTTATAGGGGAGTCGACTGTATACTGTATGCTTTGGAGACCCCAGAGCGGAATACTGACACCTTTATCCCCTGGCCATCCAGCTTGCTATCGGAATGGAATAGATCACAATTTTATGTTTATGATTAAAAATTTTATTTATATTATACAGAATTTGATTTGGATGATGTGGTGAGCCAATGCATTACGTTTTTCGTTGCTGGATACTTTGGTCCAACATCAACTATTTCGTATTCTGCTCATGAATTAGCAGTCAATCCAGATATACAGGAAAAACTTATTAACGAAGTTGATGAAACTGTTAAACAATCGGTAAGTTTATTTATGTTATTAAACATTATACAAGACTTCACAAATCGGTAAAAAACTGGAGAAAATCAAAACATACGTAATTAACAAACTTTGCCAGAGTTTTACAATCAATATAAATGTACACATGTTAGCCAAAACAATGTCAACGACTTAGATATTTTATTTCAAATTAAGCACATACTGTATAGTGTATACCAGTGGTCCTTGCTAAATCCAGATTTTTCCAAGGCTCCCTATGTCAATTTCTAACAAGTATAATTTGCGTAATAACGAAATAGCCGATATATTTTTTAATTAAAGAGTTAGGATGTTAAGTAAAAAATAAATAATACACGTATTTCAGATAGTAAAAAAATGTAATTGAACAAATTCAATTAATTATAATTAGTGGGATGGATGGTCCTCTTGATTACTGCAGATTTTCTCAAAACTTCAAATCAACTGGACAGAGTCACCCTCATTTCCTCCTCATTGATTTTCGTGCAATGCTTACTTTTTATCACAATGACAAACTCAACTTCGCACAAATAAGAACTCGCAAATGGAATTAAGATTCTCTGAGCTTTACCACTCAGAAGGGATATTCATATTTTATTGATTTCCAAAATTTAGTTAATTTCATGCTACTAAATTCTGTTTTCAACGTATTGTCGGGAAGACAAGTAAATAAGATTCTCTTCTTATGCAGCAATACATTCAGATGCAGGATTGGCATTAAACTAATTTTGAACCCATTCTAATTTATCGTTATTATTATTTTAAAAATATTTCTCAAACCAGATGATAAGCTATGATAAATGTTTTTAAAAAACAGATTTCATACCTCGAGAGAAATCAACTCTATTGGAGGTCAAAACTGTTGCAACAAAGAAAAACATTCTTTTCCTCTGTCTTTATTTATTTTTCTTTTCCGTAGTTTATCTTTTTTATGAAAGCTGAAATTTTCTCAATCGACTTTAAATGCATGTTGCTTCCATGCAGGGAGAGTTTCAGAGCATTCAGCTTTTCAAAAATATCACATAAGTATGCTAGTTTTACTAAAAACTATTCATTCACAAAGTTTTCGGCATATTTGTGGTCTTTTTTTTTAAGAAAAATATAATTTTCCTGTCGCAGTACAAAGGTACGAGACAAAACATTTCTTCGAGACAGCCATCGCTCTCTCTCGTGGTAATGTTTTGTGCTTTCTCAAAGTGCTGTAGTATAACAGACGTGTGCTCGGATCCCATTCCTTACATAGTTTTTAAAAAATCTTGCCTTCAACGGCCGAGTTTTTATAAAGTTTACTACGTTTACTACATATTCTAAGACCTAGTTCAATGTAAGACTGAGATATTTTGATGCGAGTACTTTCATGTGATTAACGCAATGGATCCACTGTGCATGATGGTCTTTGCATTAAAACGGTGTTTGCAATCCTCCATAACACTCGGACATAGAACGAGCACAATCAGTACAGATGTGAATACATTTGGCCCACTCCAAATTTTTTTCAGATATAAAAGTATCAAGGATCTCGAACAAGCCGTGAGCTTTAGCATCTGAAGTGATACTTTTACAAAACACAAAGTCCTCTACAATGTTATTACTATCTATAAACTGTATATAGCAAATCAAGTGAGCGTCATTATTATCGTCCATGGTTTCATCCAGTTGCACCCCAAATTCATTTCCTTTTATTTTTTGAAATAATTGAACATTGGAGGGCCTTTGCTATGTGCTGCATTCTGCGACTGATGGTGTTATTGGACAAAGGCACTTTTGAAAGCGGCTTCCCAGCAGAGTCACCAATCATAATGTTCACCATATCTACAGCAGCTGGTAGAATGAGTTTTTCTGCTATAGTATGAGGCCTTTATACATTTTGCAATTCTATGTGTCACTTTTATTACTAAATTAATGATTTGCACTAGGTCTGCTAGATGTCGCATCGTATCACATTGAGTAGAAAGTGGAAGTAAAATTATAAAAATTTTATAACATTTCGTGGCGCCCCTGTGGGGAAGCTGCGGCTTCCTGGGCGCCACGTCGCACACTTTTGGAACCGCTGACATCATCTCACATCCTTAAATTTTTAATGAACGTTTTTGAAAGATCCCGCGTTTCTGCTCCTTAGATATTAACTTTATTTACAAATTTTTATTTATTTTACAGAAATGACAAAAATATACCGGAGAAAGTGTGAGACAAATTCGATTATCACATTGACTTGTGCACTTTACACTTAGAGTCTATATTGAAAGATTGTAAATTACTGTTTAAAATTTCGATATTTATGTTTTCATTTAATAACATTTTTGTCAATTAACTATATAGTTAGTTTGAAATAAGTGGACATTATTTAATTAACACTTCAAAATTGATTATTGTGTCTAATTATTGATATTTTCTGTAAATTAATATTTTTAAGGGAGAATTAAATTACGATACGGTTTCTGAAATGAAGTATTTAGAGGCATTCGTTCAAGAAATAGTTCGAAAACATCCTACAACAATCAGGTAATTTTCACACAATTTATATTTTAATATAATGTTATAATTTTTTTTTGTAATTGATTAATTTAGTATATTACTAGCAGATGAGCTCAGCGTTGCCGGGGCAAAAAATAACAACATCAAAGATTAATATTAGAAGTAGGAAATAATCTAACAAGTTATTTCGTACTTTTAACCTTTCTGTTATATTATATTATAGTATTTGATTTGTATAACTACAAAGGTTCTAAAGGTAAGGGTCTATCACACCAAGTGATTAAATAAAAATAATCTTTTAAAAATGCAACGAAAGCAGATAGGACCAAACAGTTTTTCTTAAATTTAACGTACAGTTCAAAATTTTAAAAATCGAATTAATTAATTTTCTTCTATTGGCTTTTGATTGAGCGATTTATACAATGGTCAAGTTTTATCTTAATATACTTATATTGAAATGAAATTGTTAATCTGTAATTTTTTTATTTTTCAAACTAAAAATTACTCTATTTAGTAACGTTTTTTAAAATAGCATTATCATAAAATGCAAATATACACAAATGACATATTTTATACATATATGTAGATTAGAGCGTAGGGCTGTAGAAGATCACGAATTGGGCGATACAGGAATTGTCGTTGAAAAGGGCACGATGATAGCAGTACCTATTTATGCTCTTAACCATGATCCTAAGTACTTTCCAGATCCAGATAAATTTGATCCCGAAAGGCAAGCTTAATATTTAATATCATTTTATTTCTGAATTACTTTCTACAATATTTTAAAGATTTTTTTTCTTATAGTTNCTGTATTAATTAGTAGTGGTTGATCACCCTCCCTCTTCCAGGAGTAGGTGAATTACTTCGACCCCCTTCCACAATAGTTCCTTTTTTCTATTGGACCAGCAGTATGGTGGTATTCGAATATGAAAATTACATAATATAAGATTACCGATGAGAACAAAGTATGTTTAAAGCAGTTTCCAATGGTGCCGAGTTTAAATATTTGGTTTGTTTTTTGTGAAGTTTGATTAGTTCTCAGATGACCACTTGATATTCAGCTGTGAATGGAACAGTTTCTTAGATGTAGAGAAAAAGTTATGATGCCACATTTTCAATTGTGCCATTTTGTACCATGATAAACATGACAATGGTAGGCTAAAAAACCAAACTCTTTATATAGTTTTTGTTTTATATAACTACAAAGGTTATCTTATGTAACGGTTCATCACACCAAGTGATTAAATAAAATAATCTTTTAAAAATGCAACAGAAGCAGATTGAACCAAACAGTTTTTCTTAAGTTATTTTATTAACGTACAGTTGAAAATTTTGAAAATCGAATTAATTAATTTTTTTCTATTGGCTTTTGATTGAGCGATTTATGCAATGGTCCAGTTTTATCTCATTCGACTTATATTGAAGTGAAATTGTTAATCTGTAATTTTTTTTAATTTACAAGCTAAAAGTTACTCTATTTAGTAACGTTTTTTAAAATAGCATTATCATAAAATGCAAATGTACATAAATGACATATTCTATACATATACGTAGATTAGAGCGTAGGGCTGTAGAAGATCACGAATTGGGCGATACAGGAATTGTCGTTGAAAAGGGCACGATAATAGGAGTACCTATTTATGCCCTTAACCATGATCCTAAGTACTTTCCAGATCCAGATAAATTTGATCCCGAAAGGCGAGTTTAATATTTAATATCATTTTATTTATGAATTACTTTCTACAATATTTTAAAGATTTTTTTATAAAAGTTCTTTTTTCATAATCGATGGTTAAAGAGATAGACTGATTGCAATTTTTAAAAATAAATATATATGTATTAAGACATCATTTTAATTAATATTTCAACTAATTTTTATATTCATTTTAATTCTTCCGATTTCTTGAATCAGTCACACAATATAATAAGGTTGTTTTAATATTTATAATTTTTTAAAATATTTTTTATGTGTTTTTAATATATGATAGTTTTAATAATATATCACGAAAATTTTTCAATTATGTGCGATGTATTTCTGTAGATTTTTATCTTGCAATAATAACATGCTTCCTTTCACCAATTTGACATTTGGAGTTGGACAAAGAAATTGTATAGGTATGAGATTTGCATTGATGGAAATTAAGATGGTTCTAGCTAAAACTTTACAATACCTTAGATTTAAACCAGGAATTAATACAAAGGTAAAGAAATATAACATTGAAATATTCTGAAAAGTTTTGTATATTTTAAAACACGAAATATTTTCCTTTTATTACAGAAAGAGCCTGAGTTGCTTAAATCAAGGGGTTTTAATCGCCCAAAAGATGTATGTTTAAAGATTGAGTTAAGAAAATGAATTTACTTTTTACCTAACACAAAGTCAACTTCAGGAATATTTCATATTTATTAATTAGTCTTATTTGCTTTGGTTTCATTTATTTGAAAGTAAAACTTTAAAAAATAAATAATGTTATAAACAAAATTTTCTTAGTCTTAGTGTGAAAGCAACATTTATTAACGGTGCAAACTATTGAAAAATATCTTTTATCAGCAATGGCAAAAGTTTTTTCAAACAGGCAACCGAGCACATAGGGTGTGTGCCGAACAAGGGCACCAAAAGACAGTTCTATTTAAGTGCCTGATTTAAATACAAATTCAAAAAATTAAAATTATGAATTCCAACGGTCCAAATATATCGTTTGGACCGTTGGAATGCTTTTGAATAGGATTCGACGAATTTAAAAAATTCCAAGTTTTGTGGAATTAAAAACTTATGCTTGCTGCTTCCTAAATTGTTTTAACGTACTCGACATAATTTTTAACTGTTTTCGAATGTTTGAACAGTCGTATCTCGAATGGAAAGGCCGTCTTTTTGAAGAAATTTTGAATTTTTTGTGATTTCTCTGTGAATTAATATCCTTTAGTTTATTGCAAAACAGGATTCTTAGACTGGACTTCTTGGTGAGTATTCTTGCCTTTGCTTACCGTTGTTAGTTTTCTTGAGCTAACTATGGCTGGTGATGAAGGCTTTTTCGGCTTCTGAATTTCGTAGGGCCGCATTGGCGTTCTCGAAGAATTAAAGGAATACCTAATAAATAACGAGAAGGTAAAACTATGTAAGACACCGCATATCGAATATAAGGTTAATAAAGTACAGCGAATCATCGATATTTACGATGGTAACTCGATTACTCAAGATGTCAGGAAAACTTGATTTATTATTGAAGGAGCAAAAAATAAATAAAGTTTTATTGGCTAAACAAAATGAAATCCTAGACAAACTTAATTCATTAATGCTTAATAAAAGACCGATTTGTTCTCAACCTTTATCATATAGTGCAGTTCTTCAATCTAGCAAGAGCGTTGACACAGTCAATAAAATCAAGACACCTAAACCAAGGCCGTCTAGATGATACAGGCCGTAATACCAGTTGAATGACGTCATATGCTGGGGCCGTGTTAGTTTATTATGTATTCCATTTACATTTAATTCTAGAGGTATATCTCTTAAATAATACACCATATTTTACTGTAATTGTATATATATATATATTGTTCAATTCAATAATTTAACATTTTATCAATCATAATTATTTAAATAAGTGTTATCGATGGTTAAAGAGATAGACTGATTGCAATTTTTAAAAATAATCATGTAATCAATAATAATATGTATTGAGTTTTTATACGTTATTTAAGACATCATTTTAATTAATATTTCAACTAATTTTTATATTCATTTTAATCCTTCCGATTTCTTGAATCAGTCACACAATATAATAAGGTTGTTTCAATATTTATAATTTTTTAAAATATTTTTTATGTGTTTTTAATATATGATAGTTTTAATAATATATCACGAAAATTTTTTAATTATATTTGATGTATATCTATAGATTTTTATCTGACAAGAGTAACATGCTTCCTTTCACCAATTTCTCATTTGGAGTTGGACCAAGAAATTGTATAGGTATGAGATTTGCTTTGATGGAAGTTAAGATGGCTCTAGCTAAAACTTTACAACACCTTAGATTTAAACCAGGANGCTATCTTCTCTAATAATAAACTGTTCATCAAAATGATGTATGCAAACTACAGAATTAGTACTGGGTTCAAAATCTTTTCTATGTATTGCTTTAATCCATTGTTTACATCGAACAGGATCTTTGGGAAAACTGAAAACGTTAGTGTATTCCTTCTGTGTACCATAATTAGATGTACATCCGGGCACACAACATTTTCTGGCATCTAAAATTAAAGAAAATAATTTAAATTGCTATTTATAAATATACGTATAAAAAAATCTGAAAAAGTATAAAGTTTTAGTTTTAAATACATAAAATATATAGTACATTTGTTTGCAAGGTATACGATATATATGCATCTTATGTTAGAAACTGGTCTTTGTTTAAAAAATGTTAAATAAATTTAAATGTAATCAATCTGAATTGTCTCTATTGTATTCGTGTTTGCATTTTGGACATATGTACAGTAATCAGTTACATTTCTATATATACATGTACTGTACAGTACAAAGATTTGGGAACTGTATCTTTACCATTATTTTTCGTTTGACATATGATTTTCTTCGAACATATTGTTTTATTTTTTTGTTTATAAGAATTTTTATAAATACAAATTTATACATCTATTTTCAAAAAAATATAGAAAATAAGAGTCATATTGTTTAAATTTTAGAATAGTTTAAACAAGTTTAGTATTATATTGATCATTTGCTTATATGTATATTTACATCTAAAAATGATAAACGTACAGTATATAGTTCTAAATTCTTATTTTATTAATAAGTTATCTCATTTACTGAACTAGGATAAAAATAAAATAACCAAACTACATTAAATTATCAAAGTATGAATTTTTTGGAAATCATTTACATTGAAAACATCAGTTAGGCTTAGCGTTCATGAATAAAAATAACTTATTTTCTTTAAGATTTAATATGTGAACATCAATCTATTGTAATTCAAGTTTAACTTACTTTATTGATTTAATATTAATACAGTGGTACCTTATGATACGTACGCCCCAGCATACGAAATTTTCAGGATACGACATGAAATTCGAACATATTTTTGCTCCACGATACGAACAAAAACTCACCATACGACATTACATTAGTTCGCAGCTCCATTTTTTATTCACTTCTGTTCATTGGTCTCAGTCCAAGTTTTGCTTCGTCGTGGAAGGATCTCGCTCGATAATGGAAATCTTGAGGTATTATCATGAGATTTTATTAAAAAGAAACATCCCAAAAAGGTTTACACTAGCTGTATTGCTGCTCAGAGTCATGGCATTTGCCTAAGTAATTTTAGAAACATTTTAAAAACTAGGCAAAGCCAAACCTCTTTGGATAGATATTTTACCAAACGACTTCTATCCAGTGAAAGTGCTCGTGGAAGTGAAGGAAAGAAAGCAAAAAGCAGTAAATAGAAATAATAAATATATATATAAAACAACATTAATTTTTTAAAATCTTTTCTAAGTTATTTCTAAGTTATTGTTACATTGTTATGAAAGTTAAGTTTTAGTATCATTTTCTTTCTCCCTCTCTTCCGCCATCAGTTTACACCTCCATCGTCGTCTATCCTCAAAAGTAAAGTGCAAATAAAACATGTTTTTATTAATTATTATTCTATTATGGTTATTTATTCATTTACAACTACGAAACGCATTTTTCAGTGTTTTTCTTACTATAGTTTTTTTTTCAATGTACTACTTAGCTTTAATTTGAGTGTGATTTTCGTGTTGGAACGAATTATTTGGTTTTACGTGTAATCGTATGGGAAAAAATGATTCATCTTACGACGTTTTCATGATACGATTTCAGTTTCGAAACGGATTAATTTCGTATCCTGAGGTACCACTGTACATGGAAATAGTTCACAACTAATAATATTTTTAAATTCAGCATCCAACCACAGCTAATCCGATCACAAATGAAATCTCGTTCAGGTCTATCTTGTTCTAACGTGTTTCTAACGGACTCGAGGAATGACGTCACCAAAAGTTTCGGCTTCAGGTTTACGGCCTGTATCATCTAGACGGCCTTGCCTAAACCTAATCAAGAATACCCAAAGCGGCAACATTTGTAACAATGAAGTTCTAGGCAAATGAATAAAATTAACATCGAGTGGTCTCGATGTTAATTTTATTCATTATTAGAAAGGACTTGCGAGACTGTGATAAGACTTCAAGGACAAAGTTATTAAATAAACTATCTTTCTTTTCCATTGCGAATTTTACCTGAAACAGAATAATAAATTGTTCTTCAGCTTTTTGGAAAGTTTAATCGTGGTTTCATGTAATTTTTTCCTAATGCAGTTCTCTAAAAATGTTAAGGCCTTTCTCTTTTCCAGTTCAACAGAAACTACTCTGCTGCATATTTTCCTAACTCTATTAACTCCGATTTTAAGTTCACGAAAAATTCTGTACACGATCATTATTTTTACTATCACTTTTGTGATACACTAACAAGAAATTTCGGCAGATGTAGTTGTCTTGATTTTATTGAGTATGTAAAACCTATTGCCAGACTGAAGAACTTCACTAAATGTTAAAGGTTGAGAAAAAATGAGTTTTTTATTAAGCTCTAATAAATTACGTTTGTGTAGAATTTCGTTTTGTTTACCCAATAAAACTTTACTTTTTCTCTCCTTCAATAAGTAAATCAAATTATTTTCTGCCATCTCTTCCATTTTTTGAGTAATCGAAGTACCATTGTAAATATCGACGATTTGCTGTACTCTATCAACTCTATATTCGGTATGCGGTCTCGTACTTATTTTTCCTTGTCGTTATCTATTAGGTATTCCTTTAATTCTTTGAGAACAGCCAATGCGGCTATACGAAGTTCAGAAGCCGAAAAGTGATTGTTATATAAAGGTCGGATTAGCAAGTGTAATCTGTAACATGAAAATTTTCAACTTTACCATATTAGACTGTAAACGACCGGTGGCCTTTCTCATACTGAAAACAACGTAAACGCTGATTGGAACGTGAAGCAGATATATCCAAACATTCAGACTGTTTAACACCACGAAAATACGAAGAGATAACAAACGATTGGCGGTTCCTAAAAATAAACAAACAAAACTTAAAATTTTCATAACGTGACGATTGGAGTTTACTAAATTGTAAATGTACTGTACACACAATGTTAAATATTAAGTTTGTTTGAAGAAATGTTTTCACCTACTTTTAGTACTATCTTCAACTTAAATTATAAAGTTTGAAATTTTATTTTATTTTAGTTAATAACTTTTTGATTTAGTATGTATTTCCAAGATAAAGACATAGTTTAATAAGTTAATTATGAAATAGTATCAAAGAACAAAGGTACTTTATGATCAATAATATTTGTAGAAAT